TTTATTTTTTTAAGTAATTGGATATGGCTGTTGCACAAACCCTTTTGAATGTTTTGAGTATCTTTTAACATAATCAATAAAACCTTGAGAGTGATTGTATTCCCTTAAGTGGTACAATTCATAAACTTTATTTCTGCTCTTATAAATGTCAGACGTAGCCCAGTCACAGAAGTTCAACTTTTGAGTTAATTTCAAAGTTATAAGCGGAAAAGCCGTTACAAATTACATCTTAACTAAGTGGAACAGATTGGCGTAAAGAATATTAGGATCCACATGTAACCATGGCATTTGAAACATATTATCATCAATATTGTTTTGAAAAATTTCCAAACGTTCATTTGTCACTGTCCTTTCAATGAACTTGGGTTTATTAGTGTCATTTGTATTAATGTTATTTTAAGGCCGTAATGATCTGATGTGATACAATTACAAATTGATTTACTAACTCGATTATAATCAATAAATATATTATCCAAACAAGTAGCTGAATGAGATGCTACTCTAGTAGGCTCGAAATTATTTATGTACCAAATTAAAACATTAGAATAATGATATATTAGGCGAATTGACATTGTATTATTTTCAAGAATGTTAATATTGAAGTCACCAACTACAATCAAAAACTTATTTTTTGACTTTAACTTTTTTAGAACATTCTCCATCACTAATTCAAAAACACTTACTCGTATGTTACCTAGTCGGGGGGTCGGTATACACATACTATAATAAATTCATTTAATTCAACACAGGATAGCTCAAAAATACGTTCTACTGAGAGGCCAAATATGCCCTTCCTGTCCTTAGTTTTTATATTTTTATTAAAATAATTAATGTGCCACCATGTATAGCTGTTGTATGAACATATTTTCTTATCATTTGAAAATTGTTTTTGCTAAAAGACACCTCAGGAGACTTAAGCCAGTGTTCAGATAAACATATAACATGAAAATCCTGGCTTTTTGCAAATAGTTCTAATTCTCAATCCTTGCTAGCCAAACCTTGAATATTCTGATAAATAATATTAATTTTGTTGGATTTGGCTGCTGTCGTACCCCTCCGTTTAATATTGGGTTGGTCACCCTATTCTGTAAATTTTTAGTTTTATTAGTGCTGACACTAACACAATCCAGTTGTATAGACTTTGTTATACCATTTATAACTAAGTTTTGTTTATTAAAAGCTCACTCTTTTATTTTTTTGCAAGACACATAGTATCTGTTGTCAACTTAAATTTACTGATAAAAATATTTATATCAAAAGATAAAACATTGTCATTATGACTATTAAATCTTTATATATATAATTCTTCTGTGAGTGTGTATGTCACTGAACTTCACTTAAACGACTGGACCGATTTTGATGAAATTTTTTGTGTGTGTTCAAGGGGATCTGAGAATGGTTTAGATTCACAATTTTGTCCGCTGGACATCCCCTATTTTTTAGGGCGGTACGAAGTTCGCTGGGTCAGCTAGTAAATTATAAATTATTAAATTTAAATTAAAGATGCGCTGGTTTTGTTCCCTAGTTAAATTTTCTGCATATGGGAAAGCGCTTATTATTATTTTACAATTGCATGTAGACTGATAGTTCAGTAGCACATCTATATTTCTATACATATATCTTGCTCTTAATTTAGAGCTGTCAATACACATAATTACTATGTTAGTCAAACTGTTCGCATCATACTGATTTCCCTGGCATGCATATATTAGTAATACTCTCATAACATTAATTCCTTAACATTAATCCAAAGCCGCTTCCTAACTTATCCGAGAATATGAATTATTCTCAGATAAATTAAGATGCGGCTGATGATGATGATTACTATAGATTTATTTGTTGTTTCCAAGATTCTAAGTGCTCGTTTGATTTGTATTCAATATAAAGTACCAGTGATGCCGAGTTGAACTAATTCTAATCCTTTACATAACCGCGCAGCAGTCATGAAGTTGTCCCGGTTAATGTTTGTAGTCAACGAAAAATGATTTGGCCGTGGATTCTTAGGGTCCATATTTGGTAGTCTATGAGCTTACTCAATATCTTACTTTTCGATTGGATGTTTGATGATTTCCTCTATTTTATCAAGCATACATAGTATGTTTTCATCACGACGTTCCTGTAGGTCAGAACTTTCAAAATTATACTGGCGGGCTTGATTTGTCATTGCCTCCATTTTGGTCTGCAATACAGATAACTGATCGCAGATATTTCCAGTAGACTGTAATGCATTATCTACAGATTTTAAGCGGTCAGTCAATAAGATGTCTAAATTGTCTCGTTTTTCCATAGCGAATGATAAGCTCTTCTTTATGGATTCTAACCTGTCGCCCAATCCCTTTAAATAATTATTTATAGACAAGGTAAATATTGCCGTTTTATGAACAAGCACTTCATCCAGGGTAGTTTCTATGCCATCAGAAGGTTGGTCTGGATTAGATGAATGCCGTACCTGTGGTGTAGAATCTTTTGGCGCGCACGGTGTTCGCGGCATCGTTGTGTAATAGACAAGAATAGAGTAGGTTTCGTTACCGAGCTGAAAGAGCACGGGTGTAAGCCGTGACGGTTTCGGTTTTAGACACAGTGAGCACTGTTTGTCTACTAAGTTTTTAAAGTCACAAATCAAATATTTTTGACACTTAATAAAATTTTAAGATCACTTTTCTATGCACTTGATTATTAGTAATTTGCTCAGGTAATTTGAAAGAATCGTGTACACGTCTATGCCAAACAGTTGTCAGCGGCCGAATGATATTTAAGTAAGCGAAAAAGGCTAGCTTTTAGGTTAAGAAATTTTCTTAAGGCTTGAATCTGCGTCATCTGATTTACGAAATGTTATTTCAAAGAAATTTATAAGAAATTTTGCTTTGTTAAGTTTCACAAAACCTAAAGGGCTTCTGGAGGCAAACGAACACAACTTCAATTAGGAAACATAATTATTTTTAGAAACCGCCCTCGTTTGGCTTTACTCTAAATAGAAAATGTGTAATTGTAATCAAGTCTGAAACGAAACTTCATAACTTCCGTATCAGATTTATATTTGCTTGCGCAAATATGATCACGTTTTTAATTTTCGCTCTAAGCTCAAGTGGCTTCCCATAAGGCTTCGCCGGAGTACTCACATACTAGCACTCCTTTACAATATTTTGTTTAATCCCTTCTCCCCGCTTTATCTCAAGGAACTTTTTAAGTTTCAACAAAATTCCCTATCGTTTTCCCTTCCGTCCTAAAAATGGACTGCGAGAACTTCGGAAGATAAAAAAAGTAAAGAAGACAAGAAAAATCTCGTACAAAGTTTGTTTCGAAGCCGGATGGGATTGCACGTGGACAATGACGGCATACAGCTCGGCTTTTTTTTGAGAACTACTATTGCGGTTCAGAAATTACAGGAGTTGACGAGGAACTTATTTAAAGGTTCCATGTTATTCTGCAAACCTTGGCATTCGGTATTGTTGTAAATCCAGAAAAAATGGTGAATATACTCGTGCAACCGCACAACTGTACGTAACAAAATATATGTGGTATAATATGCCTTCTTCTGTACATAAAATCTTAATACATGGGGAAAGTATAATAAGACATTTTGCTGTTCTGCCCATTGGTCATTTATCATTTATCTGAGGATGCCCAAGAATCTGGCGGGTGCGCGGCCATTCGGAGACGGGTTCCGCGACCACACCCTCCCTCTCGACACGCACTAGGAGGACCGCGGTCCTCATAGTGCGTGTCTTGTGACGGTGCAGGAGTATTATCTGGTTTTTAGTGGCCCTGTTCCGGGCTTTGGTAGGGCCCTGTTCACATCAGCGAGCTTCAGGGCTGGCTGAAGAGGACAGGGAGGAGTCACACATACCTTCTCGCTCCCCCAGTGGTTGAAGGACGCGTAAGGCATTTTCCAGACACAAAAAAAGGATGCCCAAGAATCGCGTAATTAAGATTACAAAAAATTCAGATTGCATCATGCTAGAAATAGCTCTAGGTCCGCAACAAACGAAGACGTATTTCATTGTCTTCTATTTACGTCAGATCCTTACATATCAAGTATCAGAAAACCATCAGTGACTATATCCAAGAAATTGTTAGACGAAGCTAAGAACCCCTTAGCTATTTAAATTGAAATAATTTCGTACATTATTTGTAAAACATATTTTTGGAGTGGATTATTATATATTTGTCATTTATTTAAATGTAAGATTTATATTTAATATAAAATAACAATAAATAGGTTTAATATCATGAAACTGTAAATTATAATTCCATAAGTTAACCAAACCATGGTTTGATATTAAAATAATACACATTTTTGTTTTATATTATTTATTAAACATTTGACAATGATACATTCATTATTGGATTCTATGTACTCTGGAGACACTACACGCCAAATTTCAACGATTTACTTCAATCAACAAAAAAGTTACAGAGTTTTGAGACGGTACGCACGGTTCTGTCCCACTGTGCGGCTACTCAAGTTGTCACACCAATTAGCCTTGCCCCATAGTAAGCACTGTAAGGCTTGTGTTATGGGGTACTAGGGTAACGGATAGAATACATATACTGTACATATCAAAGATCCATGACTGGAGTACAAATGCTAGTATTCATCACACAAACATATGCCCCCACCGGTATTCGAACCCGGGACCTCTCGATTCGGCGACACAATGAAACCCGGCGTACTAAACGAGGTCGTCGAAATTTGATGGTTTTTTTTCAATTCAATTCAATTCAATTCAATTCAATATCGTTTATTCAGTCTAGGCTGTTACAAGCACTTGTGAAAGTCGAAAAGCTACGCCATCGGTTCGCAAAACTACGGCGGGAGACCTTGTACTGAGAAGAACCGGCAAGAAACGCAGCAAGGGCTGCTTTTTTCTCCCTGTTTTATTTCACACAGTGTCGTCCAATTGAAAGTTGACATCAAACTTGCAAACATGTGTTGAGGTCAACTTCCATTTTTGCTGCATTTCTCCTCTTCTCTCGCTCTATAAAGCGTACGCTTTCAGGTGGAGTTCTACCAGCCGGAGCTGCCGATCTTGAACCGCGACAACATCGGTGTGATGGTGAAGCTGGTGCCGCGCGCCCTGCCCGCCTGCCCCGTGGTCGTGGCTACCACGCATCTCCTGTACAACCCCAAGAGAACGGATGTCAGACTCGCGCAGATACAAGTGTTCTTGGCTGAGATAGACCGGTTCGCGTATTACTCCAGTGGGAGTCAGTGAGTATCATCATCATCATCAGCCTATTAATGTCCCCACTGCTGGAACACAGGCCTTCCCTATGGATGGAATAGGGAGATTGGGCCATGACCCACCACGCGGGCCCAATGCGAATTGGCGGGTGCTAACGACTGCAGATCCAGCCGGGACCAACGGCTTAACGTGCCTTCCGAAGCACGGAGGAACTCGAGATAGAAGATTTTTGGTCACCCATCCAAAGACCGACCACTGCGAAAGTTGCTTAAATTCAACGATCGCAGCCGAACGCGCTAACCACTTGCGCCATCGAGCTCCAGTGAGTATACCGTTGCTTCATTGACAGTTTCTCATCATCATCATCATCAGCCGTCATTAATGTCCCCAGTGCTGGGACACAGGTCTTCCCTATGGATGGAATGAGGAGATTGAGCCATAGCCCCCCATTGGTGGGTGCTAGCGACTGCAGATGCAGCCGCGACCAACGGCTTAAAGTGCCTTCCGAAGCATCCGTGCTTCGGCTAGCTCCTCCGGGAGCTAGAGTAAAGTTTTGGTCACCCATCTAATGGCCGACCACTGCGAAAGTTTCTTAACTTCAACGATCGCAGCTGAACGTGCTTCTGAGCTGAACTAGTATTTGAGCCATCGAGCTCTTCGGTGATAGTTAAGTTGCTTTAAATTAACAATTTTAAATTAGTACTTATGTAAACCGTGTCATATTTTGAGCACCCAAAAGATTAAATAGATAATATAGTGAAAAAGCATGAGTCACGGCAATGTGTTTAAATTCAAGCGATTTTACGGCTTAATATATTATAGATTGACTAAAGAAAAGGCATTGAGAAAGGTGACTCGAAGAAAAAAATAAAGGTTAAAGAAAATGGTGTGCTCTTCCATTTGGCATACTTTTGGCACGCGAAGTACAGATACTTGCATTTAGGAACTTAATATTTTTTGTAATTGCAGATTGGGACATCTACCAATCATTCTTACGGGGGACCTAAATTCGACGCCTGACAGTGCAGTTATAAAGCTTCTTGACAGAGGATATGTAAGGTACTTAAATCTTTACTAGAATCTATAATGACATAAGGCAAAGTGACGTCATATTGTTCATGATTTAGCGGATTCTTCAAAAAGCCTATTAATAAATAAAACTATTTAAACGGGTTTTTATTGTTCTCTTAATTATTTTACAAACCAATTCCTGACGTTTTGGATCTGGTACAAGTTCCGTGTTCACGAAAATGTTTTAAATCATTCTTTCAACACGGAACACTTTGAAAAGTGTCTAATTAATTTTTAATGTGCGTGAAAACATCGGAAATAAAAAGCTTATTCTAGTTGATAGTTACAAGGAATTTGTTCAAAGAAGAATACTTTCGAGTGTCCAATCAAAAGCACATTGAATAAAATATTATATTAAAGCAAACGTAAAAAATATAACGTTTTGAAATGTACTATCAAGACAAGACTGTTTTAGGCCTCTGCTTCGTAATTGTCAATTCAAATTTACATTACATTGTTCCATCTTTGTCAATAGGGTATTTGACAAGTTTTAGAAAACGATCTCACGTTATTGACTAAGGCCGTATACAGAAAGAAAGCCGAAAGCCGATCGGCGCCGATCAGCGCCGATCGGCGCTTATCGGCGCCTATTGACGCTGATCCTTTTTCTATGGACCGGCGCCGATCGGCGCTGATCGGCGCCGATCGGCGCCGATAAGCGCCTATAGGCGCCGATCAGCGCCGACACGCGCTGGTCCGAATAATAAATAATTTGTATTTGAATTATTATCCTTAGATTAAATCAATCTAAGTTATAATCTTTTTATAAATCTAATAACTTTATCTTTTATTAACTAAGCGCTAAAATTATTTGTTTCGTACTTACCGAATGGTGACAACAAGTCTTTCTTCTGGAAGGATTGGTTGTTTATGCCAATTGCTCCAATTTTTCATCAAACGGTTTTTACTAAATCCAAAATGTAATAAAATGTTTCTTGAATCATTCTTGTATATGTATAAAATCTTTGTTCATCAAATTTAAATTTTTTTACAAATAAATGATGGTATTCTCCGAAACGTTTCCTTTCTCTATTTATAGGATGTATAGCTGTTTTTCGCATTTTTAAATAAACATTTTCTAACAAAACCAACTCATCGTCCGATGAGTCCGACATTTTGCTTGATCTGCTTTAATCGGCTTCCTTTGTGTAGGAAGGATCGGCGCCGATAGGCGCCGATCGGCGCCGATCGGCTTTCGGCTTTCTTTCTGTATACGGCCTAATGCTTATGGAGTCCGTAAAAAGATTAGATATTCATCATTCTGTTGTGTATTTCAGTAAAAATAAACAAATCAAAAACTCCATTTTCAAGTTGCGCCGATCGGCGCCGATAAGCGCCTATAGGCGCCGATCAGCGCCGACACGCGCTGGTCCGAATAATAAATAATTTGTATTTGAATTATTATCCTTAGATTAAATCAATCTAAGTTATAATCTTTTTATAAATCTAATAACTTTATCTTTTATTAACTAAGCGCTAAAATTATTTGTTTCGTACTTACCGAATGGTGACAACAAGTCTTTCTTCTGGAAGGATTGGTTGTTTATGCCAATTGCTCCAATTTTTCATCAAACGGTTTTTACTAAATCCAAAATGTAATAAAATGTTTCTTGAATCATTCTTGTATATGTATAAAATCTTTGTTCATCAAATTTAAATTTTTTTACAAATAAATGATGGTATTCTCCGAAACGTTTCCTTTCTCTATTTATAGGATGTATAGCTGTTTTTCGCATTTTTAAATAAACATTTTCTAACAAAACCAACTCATCGTCCGATGAGTCCGACATTTTGCTTGATCTGCTTTAATCGGCTTCCTTTGTGTAGGAAGGATCGGCGCCGATAGGCGCCGATCGGCGCCGATCGGCTTTCGGCTTTCTTTCTGTATACGGCCTAATGCTTATGGAGTCCGTAAAAAGATTAGATATTCATCATTCTGTTGTGTATTTCAGTAAAAATAAACAAATCAAAAACTCCATTTTCAAGTTGCCGCGAAAACGTTTCTCTGAACAATATGGCATCTAACTAGTGTGTGACGTCACACGACTGTAATTAAAACGTCAAACGATACAATGTAATTTCACTTTAACCGGAAGTTTAGTTGCGTGTGACGTCATATTAAGCTCCGCCAATCCCAAGCGTTTTGGGTCACGTGACAATAGATAAGAAAACTATTATCTTTTTCGTTAGTTTTTAGTAAAATTATGAATATTTTTTTTGTAAAGATAGTAAAAACCCCTGCCAATATTCATTCTAAACACAGATGCCAACAAATGGCACTTTATTTTTAATACTGTCAAATACCCTGTTGTTTAAAGATGAAAAGGGAAAGGGCTTAAAAATGACTTGGTTTTACTTTTTATTCTTTGGTGCAAGCGGGCCTTTTAGGTATATCGCTTACTCCCGGACGACGAGTATGAGAAGAAAGCTAAATATTAATAATTACGATATAGGTGCTGGTAATTGTATTTTGATGCATCCATGTACTAAAGAAGCGATACTGTTATACAAATTTATTCAAGCTGCCTTAAAAAATAGATAAGTTAAGTTTGTATAGTATGTAGTTATGAACATTCTTAGACATAAATTATAGTGGTGACATATCTACGGACAAAACCCCTAATTAAAAAAAAATGGTTGCCTGTAAAGTCGGTTTTACGGGCGAAGATTTTACGTGACAACGTCTTTTTCTCGGTAGAATATTTATTGATATGAATATAATTAAATTGCACAATAGGAACAAGGAATTGAATGAAAATAAGAATTGCACAAATTTTAACTATAGAAATATATATAATACGTCAAAAAAACATATTACAATGCATTGTGCTTGTGAATACCATCGTAGCATGCAACCACGCTACGACGATTCGTAGCAAACTTGCTACACGGCTACGGGGTTCCAGCATGCTACGAGACTCATCGTAACGTTACCGAGCGTTACACTTTTTCATAAGTGACTCCCAGCCGCAACCTAATTTAAGACGTTGTCACGTCAAAAAAGAAAAAAGGTATATCGCTTAACTGAGTCCTCGCCTGCGGGGTGAAGGGTGCGGGGGAGGACGAGAACGTTGGCCGTGAGAGTTGTGGGCGGCGGTTTTTTTTAACATTCTTGTTAAAATTACAAGCGCCCACCGGCCGCACCTCTCACGGCAGATTTCAATAGGCTATTTGACAGTAGGAAAAATAAAATACCATATTGGCATCTATATTTAACATGATTATGTGCTGCAGTTTTACTATTTTGAGAGAACAAGTAATTTAATTAATCGCTTTTTTGAAAAATTATTACATATTTTTTTGTGTCGTAATGGTTTCTATGATTGGCGTTAGACAAATGACGTCACACGCTATTATACATTTGGTCAATGTGACATTAAATTGTATCGTTTTACGTTTTAAAGACAGTCGTGTGACGTCACATACCAGTGAGACATCATAATGTACGGAGATACGTCGTAATGTCCAACTTGCAAAATGGAATTTATAATTTAGTTTTTTACTGAAACACAGTAGAATCACACCAATATATTAAAGGCGAAAATTTGTGAGGTTGTATGTTTGTTACTTCTTCACGTCTAAACGGCTGGAGCGATTTTAATAAAATATGGTATGGTGCATGCTGACACCCTGGATTAACACATTGGCTATGTTTTAATGCGGGAAAATATCCCAAATAAAGCGCTGGTAATGCCGCGGGGCACAGCTAGTGGTCCATTATCATCATCAGCCTATTAATGTCCCCACTGCTGGGGCACAGGCCTTCCCTATGAATGGAATAGGGAGCTTGGGCCATGACCAACCACGCGGGCCCAGTGTGGATTGGTGGGTGTTAACGACTGCAAATGCAGCCGGGACCAACGGCTTAACGTGCCTTCGGAAGCACGGAGGAGCTCGAGATAGTAAATTTTTGGTCACCCATCCAATGACCGACCACTGCGAAAGTTGCTTAACTTCAACGATCGCAGCCGAACGCGCTAACCACTTTCGCCATCGAGCTCCTCAGTGGAAGTGGTCCATAAACAAGAGTAAATAACGTGAGTTCTCGTTTCCTCAAATTTGTCAAATACCCTATTCGGTGAGCTCGCACCTCTATCACGCTACATTTCGTTTACTGCGATGCGACTTGCATCGCAGCCAAATTTTTCAGCCTTTAGTCTAAACATTATAATTAAAAATGATTTGTTTTTTCATTTCAGTGCAAGCCCCTTCCGGGATAGTTCCGATTGGAAGCGGATAGGGGTGACGGACAACTGTCAGCATTTGTCGGTGTACCTCGACCGGCAGGTCGGGAAGACCACAGACAACAGCACGATAAAGGTACAAAACTACGTAGAACTGTACCCCTAGCACGAACCATTATCGGATTCGAATAGTTTGCAACTCGAAATGTCAGTGTCAAATTTTGTATGGAAACTGAACAGCAGCGGCACAAAGTACGTAACGAGAACTAAAAATCAGTACACATTTGACAATGACATTTCGGACTCGCAAACGATACGTATTCGATATTGGTTCGTGCTAGGGGTACTGATTGGAAATTAGTGTGCGGAAAATTTAACGTTTATTATTATTATTATTCATCTTTATTTCGAAATCGTATTTGCATTGGGGTTGCATTTTCAATCGTGACTATTTTAGACCTCTTCAATCGTGAATTTTTAGACCTCAGACTAAAACGAAAGCATTTTGTTGTTTGTTTATTTGGATACAACAGCTGCACAGATTAAATTCATGACTGTAACTGTAATTCAATGACATTAAATACCCTAGATACACCAAAACGAACAAAATCGTGCCCGAAACCTGTCCAAAAGGTACATTGGATGATCCACGGAGCTCCGTAAGATGACGTAAGATGATCGCGTAGTCAAAAACAATATAAGACATTATTATAACATTGCAAGTCACCTTTAATGCATACTGTTTAAGGTCTTAATAAAAACGCATGCGTCAAAGAGTTATGACAGTTCTAAATGCAAGCTCATAAAATTTTACGATTTATTGCTATATGCGAAATAATAAAGACCTTCATTTCTTTGACTCTACGCGTAATTCTGAACTCGCTGTTAGCAATATAGCAGGACCATGAATTTGAATATCACATTTTTTTTTCATTTTTATTTAATCAGTTTATAGTAAGTATTAGAACAAAATTTGCTTCAAATGCGTTAAATTAACAAACATTGATTAGATACCTGTCGAAAAAACGACACTTCATACTATTAGTATTTTTTTTCGCATATTTTCACGGAGCTCTGCGGCAACTTGACTTTGCAACGGTCCGTGCGTGACTGTGAACCAAGAAGTGCTTCAGTGGTGTTCAAGCACTTTTTGATTGGGACACATTTTGAGCGCACGTGGTGTATCTATTTAATATCGTTGTAGGAAAGAGAAAAAGCAATGGTGCATCCGAACGATACTCCTACGAAGTATTGGTCGCGTTCGCTTCGTCTCTCTCACATTAATCTACCTAGATTCACAGTTGGATTGGAAACAATTCCAATCTCTATATCTCTGCTTATACTCGTCCAAGTAACTAAAAATATAACTAGAAAAAAAAACCAGGCTGACCAGGCAGCAGACGGGACTCGAACCCGCATCCTTCGCTATCCGGGCGAATGCACTGACCAATAGGGATGATGACTAATTTTTTTTTCTTCGTTTATCAGGTAGATTATCAAAAAGTATTGGACACGTATTTTTTCTTTTTTCACATTATATAAACATTGCAGAAATATGTTGATTTGAAAAGTATATCTCTGCTTATACTCGTTCAAGTAGAATTTATTTATAGCCCGCGCAGACGATGGCAATATTTTCTGCAAATTTTTAGGCCGCCAGAATAGATCGCTTTCAACTGCATCGGGATTCAAAGTTCCCGTACAAAAAGTCTCCCGGACAACTGAGGACAACCAGAGACCGGAAATAACAAAAGTACGCGGCCGTCCCCGAAAAAATAGAACTCATGTGAACTATTTATTTATTATAAAGCGCAGCGACTCACTCAGCTAACTTCAATGTGCTTTGCACGCTCGATCCGTTCTCGAGAAATGGAGTCATCATTCTCAATTAAAATGTCTTCTAAAGAAAATGTTTGCTTGAAATGATTCTACGCGAAACTGGCAGCAGACGGGACTCCAACCCGCACCCTTCGCTTTCCGTGCGAATGCACTGACCATTATGCTACCGTGGCTCTGATGGCCGTGTCGAATTCTCTCTAGCCTTTCTTAAGCTGCAAGACAGTGCCATCTCTTCGCATTGTAGCTAACCCACAATGTCAAATAAATACCTTTACAAGTGTTAGGCATATGAAAGAATAAATAGCAATTATAGTCATATTTTTGAAGTTATACTTCTTTAGGCGCGTTATGAAAAAATGATGAGAGTGAAATTTTAAGATGCGCGCGCATCACTGTAACACAAAATATTAACAGCATGAAGTTGGTCGCTAAAGCGACCAACTTCATGCTGTTACTTTTGTGTTTACCGCACATTAAGAAAATCTACCAACAAAATAGAAATAGAATCTCTATTTAGTGGGTGCTAACCACTGCATTGTGAAGGCCTATCAAAAGTATTTATTAATCTGGAACAACAGAACCAAAGCGCGATTCAGGAGACTACAGCGCCATCTTTTGACCATAGGTGTAGTAGAACCAAAAACCACATCTTTATTTTTTGTAATAAAGTAACAGTTATAGGTGTTCATATTTATAATATCAAAAGTATTTATTAATCTGGAACAACGAAACCAAAGCGCGATTCAGGAGACTACAACGCCATCTCTTGACCATTGGTGTTGTAGAACCAAAAACCACATCTTTATTTTTTGTAATAAAGTAACAGTTATAGGTATTCATATTTATAATATTTATCCACATGTTTCTAGTTTGTATATTCGGAATACATGTTTGAGTTTCATACAAGTGCAAATCACATATGTTCCAATAAATTATATTCAGTAGCGATTTTAATTGAATATTTTGATTATTTATTTATTTTTTCAAATTAAAACTGAACTTTATTGACTGTGTCCTTTTCCAGACTTTTTATTAATTTATTGTAATTAATTATTTGCATGCAATTAAAAACTAATTTTAAACGATGCCAAAGAAGGATAACTTCTCACGCGCCTACATAAGTACACGCACCCATTTTTTATTTTTTTAAGCATGTTTAAATGTAAAGATTTTTTTTTGCTAAAAAGAATTCCACGTGGAGTTTTCTTTAGGTTTAAACATCTAGCAGTTACATGCTTAAAAAATAAAAAAAAAAAACTAAAATGTCTTCGTTTTTAAGGTAGCCAAATAGTAAAAAACGGAACCCTTATAAATTCGACCTGTCCTTCCGTACGTCACAGCCACTTTATTATTAAACTTCCTGTACATTCTGTACGTAAATGTGTGCGTCGAGTCCGCGACTAGTCCTTGGCGCATTTTTCTCCACGATTCTCGTCTGCGCAACCCTTTATTTATGAAGTGCTTGAAAACATAACAAAACTAAATTTAAAGAAAATATAACTAGAAAAAAAAAACCACGCGGACCAGGCAGCAGACGGGACTCGAACCCGCATCCTTCGCTATCCGGGCGAATGCACTGACCAATTATGCTACCGCGGCTTGTGGGTTACCTACAATGCGAAGAAATGGCACTGCCTTGCAGCTTAAGAATGACTAGAAGAATTTCGAAGCGGCCGTCAGGGCCGCGGTAGCATAATAGGGGTGATGACGGGGTACAGTCATCGAAATTCTATTTAGTCCGTCAGTTAGATGATCAAAAAATAATAGACACGTATAGGGGCTCGTGACGTCACTTGAGTGAATTTTCACTTGTGTGTAAGTGTACTCAAACGTGACGTCACGCGACTTTTCAAATCAATATATCTCTGCAATGTTTATATTATGGGAAAAAAGAAAAAATACGTGTCCAATACTTTTTGATAATCTACCTGATAAACGAAGAAAAAAAAAATAGTCATCATCCCTATTGGTCAGTGCATTCGCCCGGATAGCGAAGGATGCGGGTTCGAGTCCCGTCTGCTGCCTGGTCCGCGTGGATTTGTTTTTTGGTAATATTTTCTTTAGATTTAAACATCAAGCAGTTACATGCTTAAAAAACAAACATTAAAACTAAATTTGTTCCAAGATATTCCACTCTGAGTACTTCGGCACGTGTACCGAGAAATCTTGCGGCGACTCTGAACCACCGCCGCCCGGGTGCGAATACAACGAGTTGTTCAACAGTGGGAATGTGGGCCATTCGCTGCGACTCACCAGCGTGTACGAGAAGACAAAGCCCGGTGGCGGCTCCGAAGCCTCCACCTACCAGGACTACTGGGTCACCGTTGACTACATATACTTCAGGTAATATCATCATCAGCCTATTAGCGCCGGCGCACATTGGCGGCACGGCATGGCAGAGTATTTTTAGGCGACGAATAAAAATATAACTAAAGAGTATGAAAATAAAGTTGAAATTCCAATATTGAAGGTCGTAGGTATAAAAACAATGCCGTGGGATGCTTAGGCATGCCGTGTCGGCATCCTTCGGAACGCCTATTCGACGCTATGGCCGTCTTCGGGATACCGAACGATACTGCGACAAGACAAGACAGCGCCCAAATCTTCTCTTTGATTGTACAGTTTTCTCTTCTTCTTCAGCAAGAACTGCTATGAGAACTAGGTCCCATTCTACCATTATAAATACTCACACGTACAACAAGCTTGCGTTATGACTGTTC